AACAAAAGCCTACTCGCCGAGTATCGAACCGAGACCCTAGCCCACCAACGCGTTGGAGGACAAGTGTCGGAGTTCGAAGCCGCCGGCCAAAGCGATGTGGAGGTCGGAGTGCATCGACGCGAACTGCTTCGCCTCGCGCTTCCCGCTCTCGCATTTTGTCGCAGCACTTAGAGCACTTGATCTAAGTAACGCTACTTGGGGTTTGAATCAGCTGGTGTTACATACACTTCCAGCACGGTAAAACGGTTCGTGGGGTTCCCATGAAACGTATGGTCAATGGATTTCCAGGGAGTTCCCTGGGAAACGGCAGGCGGCAAGCCCGAGCAGCCACCCTCGCAACTGTGACATTTCACGTCGTTAAGACGGCAGAGTGGAAACATTTCACGCGCGTTTCAGCTAAATCAAAAATGTGTCGAGAACGATATGTCTCATCACTTGCTGGAACCAGGGACGAAGGAAAGCAGTGTGGCGTCACGTGATCGAATTTCTGGCGTGGTGCACTGGGAGAACTGAAGCGAACGTTCAAACCATTCTACGCCAAATCTCACACACAAGGAAAGCATACTCAGCCCACAAGCATTCGGTGCATTTGAAGGTTCATCTTCTTTTCATTCTCAATTCATTCTTATTCTTCTTCATTATTCATTCATTCATTCAATTCATTCATTCATTCGTAAATGAAAAATCTGCATATTTGGCGTTCCTAGTTCCAGCTGCGGCGTCGAGAGCGCGCCCCGGCCTGCTTGTTGGACCGGCAACAAATTCCAGTCGACCAATCAGAGCCGCCGAGTCACGCCGCGCCACTGTCAGCTAAGGGGTATTGAAATGCACGTTTTTTTGAATTCCATACCGGCACACTCGGAAAAGGGTTCATTCTTACATAAAACCACCGCAAACCAAATTTGAGACCGATCGAAAAATATTTAGGGGTCGCTACAATGGCTGAAAGTTGTAAATTTGACGTAATTTTTGAAACTGAACAACTTTGGAGTATTTGAAGCCCTGCGCAGCCGGTGTTGGTCCTAGCTTGTTGCCCCCGCAGACTTTTTTTTCCCGGGATCCAGGCCGACCAAAAGAACCCTACGGGATGCATTTTGAGCGAATGATAACGGAACTGGGTCCATTTTACGCTCAAAAAAGTGTATTTTTCTCCGCTTTTAGGGTTTTAGAGGCCTACCAAACTATTGCCTTGCATCACAAGAAATCCAAACCCATGTATTTTGATAGAAAAAAGGTTGCTCTTTTAAATGGCGGTCACGGAAACAGTCTAGGATTTTTGGTTTAGGCTCCAGAGCCGTTTAAAGTTAAAAAATGGATTTTATTTTAGTGAAAATTAGAGCAAATGTTCACTCGTAGTCACGTGCGACGTATGGTTTGGCCACTAGCGCTACCCGGCGAAGTGCAGGCGGTGCGCTGTGGTGGGAGAAGCTTCACGGGTAGAAATGTACGGCTTTTATACGGATGCAGAATATTTTGAGATCAAAGTAACGCCAAGGCGTTCGAAAAATTCCCGGATTATGTTTGGACTGTGTCAGCAAGATGTCGACAAAATATTCGGATATTTTGCGGGCGTTTTGCCAGTCTCTGGCCGGCCGCTTTTCGACGTCTTTTTAAACAACCTTAAAAAGATGTCCAGAAGGCAAAGACAAAATATCGGCAAAGAGGTGCCGCATCGCTGGTCGCTGCAGCAAAAGAGAGACCACTGGCGTCGATCCACAAACCTGCCGCTTGCGAGACAAGAGCGGATCCGCTGGGCCGGGCCAGAGCGTCAGCGCTGGGGGGGTATTTTTCGAACGCCTTCGCCTTACTTTGATCACAAAATATTTAGCAGCCGTATAAAAGCCGTACATTTCTACCCGGGAAGTTTCTCCCACCACAGCGCACCGCCTGCACTTCGCCGGGTAGCGCTAGTGGCCAAACCATACGTCGCACGTGACTACGGGTGAACATTTGCTCCAATTTTCACTAAAATAAAATCCATTTTTCAACTTTAAACGGCTCTGGAGCCTAAACCAAAAATCGCAGACTGTTTCCGTGACCGCCATTTGAAAGAGCAACCTTTTTTCTTTTAACATACATGAGTTTAGATTTCTTGTGACGCAAGGCAAAAGTTTGGTAGGCCTCTAAAACCCTAAAAGCGGAGAAAAATACACTTTTTTGAGCGTAAAATGGACCCAGTTCCGTTATCATTCGCTCAAAATGCATCCCGTAGGGTTCTTTAGGTCGGCCTGGATCCCGGAAAAAAAAAGTCTCCGGGGGCAACAAGCTAGGACCAACACCGGCTGCGCAGGGCTTCAAATACTCCAAAGTTGTATAGTTTCAAAAATTACGTCAAATTTACAACTTTCAGCCATTGTAGCGACCCTTAAATATTTTTCGATCGGTCTCAAATTTGGTTTGCGGTGGTTTTAGGTAAGAATGAACCCTTTTCCGAGTGTGCCGGTATGGAATTCAAAAAAACGTGCATTTCAATACCCCTTACTGTCAGCGTGCTGCTGCCCTTTCGTGTCGTCGCTCTGTCTCTCTCGCACTCACGGGGCGTCCCGTGTAGGTGCGAGAGAGACAGAGCGACGAAAACGACTCTCGGAATCGGCCTGCTGCGGCTCGAGTGCTCTTCCTAATGATTCCCTTTGCATGTGGCTCGGCTCGGCTCGGCTCGGCTCGGCTCGGCTCGGCTCGGCTCGGCTCGGCTCGGCTCGGCTCGGCTCGGCTCGGCTCGGCTCGGCTCGGCTCCTAGCTCTCGATGTTGGAGGAACTCAATTTAAAATATGATTGGGCGAATGGGTGAGGCGGAGCTTCCCCTCGAGTTCCCCCACCCCGGGACGGCCGCCGCCGCATGGCCGCGGAATGCGCCGCGCCGCCGCGCCTCGGCGCTGCTACGCGCCGCTCCTCACACTCCACTTCACCCTTCCATCACTCAAGATTGAAAGCCTGAAACTACGGCTCCGTTTTTGGAATTTTCTCATCGAATCCGCGAATCGTTCCGCCGGGTCTTTCGAACGGCAGATGCAACGCCCTGTCGCTGCACGCTCCGAACCTTACAAACTATATTAAGCGCTTTACAAACAAAAGTTACCTTTTTATGATGAAGTATTTTGAGCTTACAAAGAGAAAACTTCGTCAATGACGAGGTATTTCGCTCTATGATAAACCTACAAACCTACAAGACTAGTTTGTACCCATAGGTACAAACATATTTACAAAATTCTTCGCATGAATTTTTAGCGTGTGTACGAGACTTATTAACTAACATTCTTTTTTTGGTCCAACCGGGTTGGGTTGTTCGTTTCCTCTGCAAGCTTCGATTTCACCAATTGCACCAAAAAATTGACTTCTTGGATTTAAAAAAAAAAACTTGTTCCTGGTTGCTCTTTATTTGAAGAACTTTTTTCTTGATCCAAACTTTTGTTATGTACAAATTTATTACATAGTTCATAAAAATTTTCTTGTGTCAAGACGTTTTGTCTTTAAAAAAAATCCAAGAAAATAAAACATTCAGTCCAGAAACCATTTTTTTTGGGGGGGAGGGCCTAAGCCGTTTTCTTCCGAGTGCAGCTTGGCCGGTGCGACTGCTTGTCGGGTACACCCCGCCGACGACGCGTTCGGGAAAGTCATTTGACTGTCTGATGCGTGCCGGCCGGGCCCAGCATGCCTATGCACGCTCCGCTTGGCTGTCTCGGCTTGCTTGCCCCGCGGAGCTGCGTATCTCCATGCCCGTTTGGGCCCATTTGCGCCCAGCTGTCTGTCTGTCTGTCTGCCTGACTAACTCAAGGGGATAGGACTCGCTCGCTGACTGGGCCGTTGATTGAATGATAGACTGACGTGGCGATTGCTCCAATCACAGTGGGGTGAGGCGGGGAGGGGTGGGGCGTGGCGGGGCGCGGAGTCTTCCAGCCGGTACGCCCCGCCCCGCCTCGGAGCAACATGCAAGCTGCCTTTCGTTCCCAAGGCCCCGTTACCCACGCTCAAATTTAGTGCCACCGTGATCAAAATTAAAAAAAAAACAAAAAAAAACAAACAAGTGAATCACTTATCTAGGTGATTTGGCACCCATCACTCCATTTCGTCATTTGGCACACTAAAAAAATCTACCGACAAGCAGCAGCATTTTCCCAGCAAGGTGGCCGCGTCCTCCGCCAACAACAATTAACACCAAAAAGGAGCAAAAAAAAAGGTGCGAAAAAAAATTGGCAGAATGAGACTTTTTAAACCGGATGGGCATGCGGCGTGCTTCGCTTGCCTCGCGCGGCAGCGAGCCGCAAGGAAGGCCCGGCCTCTGCAAACAAGGCGAGAGTGAGAAAGGCTTTGCAAATCCCCCCCCCCTCCTTTTTCCTTCCTTCCCCGCCTCGGCTCGGGAAGTGTCCGATCCCATGTGTGGAGGTGTCAACCCGGAGAGGGTCTTTATGTGTGAGGAAATAAAAAGTACGCAAAAGGGGGCGCGAGCAGCGGACCCGCTCCGAACAGCGTCGCTCTGTCTCTCTCGCACCTGCAGGGGACGCCCCGTGAGTGCGAGAGAGACAGAGCGACGACTCTCGGAATCGGCCTCCAGCGAGGACTGGGCGGAATATGTACCGAGGGTGGAAGAAGCGCGGCATAAGGCTCGCCGGTTCAATTTTTCATGCAGCAGGCTGATTCCGAGAGTCGTTTTCGTCGCTCTGTCTCTCCCGCACCCAGAAGGGACGCCCCGTGAGTCCGAGAGAGCCGGAGCGACGCAAACGACTCTCGGAATCAGTCTGCAGGTCCTTACAGCCACGCATCGCCTTTGTTTGTGCAAACAGAGCTAAAAAGTAGACATTCTTTTCGCGCGCGGGTCTCGCAAGTAGCAGCCTCTGAGGTGCGCGTCCCGACAACAGCCGACATGTTTTCATTTCGTGTCTTTTTTTTCCTTCTCGTTTTTGTTTGCGTGGAAAATGTGAGAAGCGCCAGGCTGGCTGGTTTGAAATCGGATGCCATTCAGGGGGGTGCGTCTATGAAGGCAAGTTTCTGGTAACATCCCAGAGACGAGTTTTTATTGTATAAAAAAGGAACCGCACATCGCGGATAAACAGACTTAATCACTAAACAACACTAAATAAACACAGTCAACAGTCGTAAAAAAATACACCTAGAAAATCCCGATTCCGAGATTTGGTGGAAATAAATCCTTACATGAATTATCACAATACAGAGGCGAGCGGAGTAACTCTTTACGTACTGGCAGGCCGACTGCAACAGCAGAGAATAGTTTGTCGTGAAGGCGAACATGGAAATCGAGCAATGATTCGTGATGATACATTGATGATTCAATGATGATTCAATAATGGTTCAATGATGATTCAATGATGATAGAGTGACGATTTTCTTTGTTCTGTTGTAGGTGACGATGAAGATGATGGTGAATATGACGGTGAGAACGGTAATGACTTCTTCGCACCCGTCGCCCTGTGAGAGGGGCGGCACAGGGCATGCAGGACTGCGCTGCAGACGTCACGTCTTTCGAAGGGCGGATCCAGAGGGAGGATTCAAAAAAGGTGATGTCGCAAAAGTTGCCTATCTACACGTGCAAAGTCCGACTTTTCGCCTATCTTTAGGGGCAAAGTCTAACTTTTCGCCTATCCAGGGCAAAGTCCGGCTTTTCGCCTATCCATGGGACAAAGTCCGACTTTTGACCATTCTATAGGGGCAAAGTCCGACTTTTGGCCATTCTATAAGGGCAAAGTCCGACTTTTGGCCATTCTTTAGGGGCAAAGTCCTACTTTCCAGGTGGTTTCGCCGCCTTTAGGGCCAAAGTGGTGATGGGGACATCCCCCTGGATCCGCGCATGCTTTCCGGAAACAGAAGAAACGCGAACGCTGACGACGCCACGAGATGAACATGGGGGTGAAGATGAGGACGAGGAGCGAAGTGACTTGCCGCCGACCCTTAGTAGCTGCCGTGGCCCTCGTAGCCCTCCTCGGCGTCCTCGGACACCGCGGCCGCGCCGAGGTGCGCGTACCCGTCGTCGCCGTGGTCCGTGCCGTCGGTGAGCGACGAGCGGTGGTAGGAGCCCTCGCCCAGGCCGTAGCCCTCGTCGTGCTCGCCGAGGCTCAGCGCGGCGTGGCCGCCGAGGTCGCCGTCGTCCGAAGAGAGGTGCTCGTAGGACGCCTTGTGGACGACGTGCTCTGCAACGGACAAGGCGGTGTGATAATGAGATGCGATGTGAACAGCACGAGGTGCACAGTGGGCCAGAAGACCGGTGGAGGCGGTCAAAATCCCGGCCCGGACGCGTTTTGAGCCGCAGGGTCGCTAAGCAGGAATCGAGCCGAACGTGTGACCCCACCAATGGATTCCTCGTTCGGAGAGCAATCCATTGGTGGGGTCACACGTTCAGTTCGAGTCCTGCTTAGCGACTCTGGAGCTCAAAACGCGTCTTGAGTTTTGGCCGCCTCCACACTGGCGGCCACTGTGCGCTGCAGCGCGACGCGACGCCGCGCGCTTCGGACGGGAGACCTCAACGCAGGGCGGCGCCGGCGTCGTAGTAGATGTGTGCGAATCGTTCGAAACTGCATTAAATCGAATCGAATCTGGGCTTTCCAGGCGGCCTGCCTAGTGCCCAAATTACTCCAAATTCCCAAGATGCGCGCCTGCCACCCGATGCCGCGCAGCCCGCACTTGTCGCTCTGTCTCTCTCGCACCCATACGACACACAACATGAGTGCGAGGGTGAGCGACGAGTGCCGAGTCACTTACGAGGGGGCAGCCACTCGAGAAATCCTGTGTCCCTTAGAGCGCTTCAAATCTCCGGAATTCCAAAATCCTCCCCCAAACAGGCACAAAAAAAAACAGATTTCGGACGTAAAATCCGACGAAATTTCTTCTCACAGAAATCTTGTGTCCCCCCAAGCATGAAAAGTGTTTGCCCCCTCGGCCACTTAGCAGTGCGTGGACCGCGGCGGCGTGGACTCACCGTGCTTCTTGTAGACGGGCACGGGGTGGTAGCTCTCCAGGTTGAAGTTCTGGTACGACGTGGCGTGGCCGTGGCCGTGCTCCTCGATGTGGCCGCGCTTGACGCGCGTGGGCAGCGCGGACGCCACCGCCACCACGGCCAGCAGCACCTGCAACCGGAGGGGAGAGAGCCGCGTTATGATCCGTTGCTGTTTCATTTCTTTCCTCGATATCGAGCAGCAAGAAGAAGAAGAAGAAGAAGAAGAAGAAGAAGAAGAAGAAGAAGAAGAAGAAGAAGAAGAAGAAGAAGAGAAAGAAGGAGGAGGAGGAGGTCCGCTGCCACCTAGTCACCACTGCGGCAGCCCTCGACCGCGAGAATCCATATTTCTCCCCAGTTTGAACGGACTATAGATCAAGGTTCTTCTCAAAGTGAGAGAATCACCCCTCCGCCTAAGGTTTCAGTGGCACTCCTGCTGGTGATACTCCCCGCTCATGCCTATACTCGAGAACCTTTACTAGAGGACGAGTAGAGTCGTTGCATCAACCTTTGAGAGGCATAACCAAAGTCTCTCTATTCTTTTGTAAGTGCAGAGTCTCTCTAATGAAAGTGCAAGGTCTCTGTAAGTGTAAGGTCTCTCTCTCTCTAATGACAGGGCAAGGTCTCTCTAATTACGTTATGAAAGTGCGGAGTCTCTCCCATGAAAGGGCAGTGTCTCTCTAACTATCCAATAAAGTGTGGAGTATCTCTAATGAAAGTGAAGGGTCTCTCTAATTATCTAATGAAAGTGCAGAGTCTCTCTAATGACATTGCGAGAGAGTCTCCCCCGCGGCTCCCCGGCACCCAGCGCTGGCGATACTCCGCGCGCGAGGCGCCGCTCCCCGCCGCCAGAGCGCGCCACCGGCCCGCCGCAGGGCGCCGCAGGGAAAGACCAGCGACTCTGTCGGCGCGGGGTATCGCCAGGGCCGGGCCGCGGCGCGGAGTAGCGCGCGGAGGGGGCAGCGCCGCTGGAGACTCACTCCGAGCGTCCTGTCTCTGTCTCTCTCGCACTCATGGGCGCCCCGTACAGGTGCGAGGGAGACAGACAGGAGTCTGCGGGACGACGGAGACGGAACCAGCTTCCAAGCAAATGAAGCAAGCCGCCAGGCCGGCCGCGGGTCGTCGCGTTGCCCAACGGCCGGTGGCTGGCGGTGCCGGCGCCGCCGCGGCCCCTTGCCACGTGCTTGCCACACCCTCCGGGACGTCCCCGCCTTGGTCCCTGCGGCCCGCCAGGTCGCCGTCAACGACAACACCGCCGTTAAGAACTAGTTTCGCGCTGTTTTGGTGTCGCGGCTGCGGGCGGCGGCACTGTTGCAGTCACGGTCGGAGCAGCCAATCTGATCCCCGTGTCCCACAGTGGGCCAGAAGACCGGCACAGTCGGTCCAAAACTCTAGACGCGTTTTGAGCTCCAGAGTCGCTTAATGAAGCTCGAACCGAGCCTGTCACCCCACCAATCGATTCCTCGTTCGGAGAGCAATCCATTGGTGGGGTCACACGTTTGGTTCGAGTCCCAATTAGCGACTCTGGAGCTCAAAACGCGTCCTGGATTTTGATCGCCTCCACCGGTCTTCAGACCCACTGTGGCTGTAGGCCGTACCGGCTGGCCAGAGAAATGAGTAAATTTTGTCAAAGTGCAGGCGCAGGCATGCTGAGAGAGAGAGAGAGAGAGAGAGAGAGAGAGAGAGAGAGAGAGAGAGAGAGAGAGGAGAAGCAGAGAGAGACGAGAGGAGAGAGTCAAGGGGTAACGCGTTCACTCGGCATAGCGCCGACTCACACGGAAGCCTCCTCAGGGAAGACCCGCCGCATCCTTGACCATTGGCCGTACACAGCGGGGGCCGAAAGGGAGTGATTGGTCACGTAAGGCGCAGGGATGCCCGAGCGGCCCCCCTTTTTCGATGCCGCCAGGCGATGCAGCACTTTACTTTAGATTACTTGGCAGCGAAGTGAGAGCAGGAGGGGGGAACATCACCATTCATTGTACAAAATTTGACCGCATTCACATCGGGGAAGCGCCTAAAGGTAAGACCACCATGTGTGGCACCAGAAATCTTGCACATTCTTCGCGTTCAACGCGTACGTGGGGTACACGATAAACGCGCCAGGGATCCCCTGCCCGGACGCCCCCTTTAGAGTTGCCGCCGCCTCGCATTACACTCCACTTACTTCCATTCACTGGCGCGTCCACGGTGTAGGGGCCGAGGAGGGAACCGAGAAGAGTTGTCGTGGGTCCTCTCGCACCGACGGACCCCACGTTTTTGCTTTAGGTACGGGTAGGGGTCGCGGGCGTGCGGGAACAGGACCTCTCTACTCGCACTGTAGGCCCCGCAACTTATTGTGTTTTCCGGAGGCTTCAAGGCAAACTAAGGGCGGACTCTAGTGAGAGCTAAAGTTACGCTTGAAGCATTGCTTGAATGAAGCATACCTGGAAATCCCTGTTGGATGGGGAACTTGGCGGATGAGCTGTTACGCTTGATTTAATAAACATTAGTTGATAACAGTGGATGATAACGCTTTAGTTTTACCAGTTTTCCTTGGTTTCGGATAATCTTAGGCCTGCCTTTCCCTTGTTGTTTAGCGAGAAGAGTTCGCGTGCCGAGGTCGCGGCGGCCTGCAGCGGACTCCGCCTCCACGATCACGCCATCCAACGCCAACTTCGCTGCACTCGAACTTGCAAAGAGCGCCGCCCCACTGGCCGATGAACCGCTCCGAGGCAATCTGAGGTAGTTATCCGATCTGGCCTGCCCAGCAGCAGCATTTACGAACGCTCTCAAACGGTGTTGCCAGAAAAGTAGGTGAAAGGTAGCCCTAAAAACGCTGGTGCACAGTGGACCAGAAGACCGGGGGAGGCCGTCGAAATCCCGGACACGTTTTGAGCTCGAGTCGCTAAATAGGACTCGAATCGAGCGTGTGATCCCACCAATGGATTGCTCTCCGAACGAGGAATCCATTGGTGGGGTCACACGCTCGTCTCGAGTCCTGTTTAGCGACTCTGGAGCTCAAAACGCGTCTAGGGTTTTTGCCGCCGGCGCCGCGGTCTTCTGGCCCACTGTGCGGTTGCGTGTCCCTGCGGCGCGGGGTAGCGCCGGGTGCACGCCCCCGCTCGCGCTACTCTTGCCGTTGTGGAGGAAGCCGGCGTAATGAGTGATTTTCGCACTGCCCGTCTTCCTAGTGCAGGCTCTAGTGCGGGAGCTTTTAATTAGGAGACGATTTCCTGGCCGCCGTGCTTCTCGCGGCACGGAACCCAAACAAGCTTTCGTCGCTCTGTCTCGCTCGCACTCGCGGGCCGTCCCGGTGGGTGCGAGAGAGACAGAGTGATGAAACGTTGGTAATGATGCCCAGTGGCCTACAGCGGGCAGCGAGGACGGAACGGACCTCCGCCACAACTTCTACGGGAGTTCAAGAGCCGGAAGGAACGAAAACGGAACTTTCCGGCGGTTGGCTCCTGCAGCCCTGCAGGCTGATTCCGAACCATCGTCGCTCTGTCTCTCTCGCACTCATGGGGCGCCCCGCTGGCGTGCGAGAGAGACAGAGCGACCAAGCACTGTTCGAGATCTGCCTGCTGCCATCCTGCAGCATCACGCCGTGCGAAGCGAAGCCAGCGAAGCGCACTGTAAGCACGCGGCGCCGGGACCGACCGAGACGCTCGCCGGCCGGCTGCCCGACTTTCTATCACTCCGAACACTCCGCCGACGACAGTGCGGCCCTTGACGACGCCGCCGTGCAAAGCAGTGCAAACCACGGCGCTGTAAAACGGCGCCGCCGCCGCTACACTGTTGCGCCGCTACACTGTTAGACAGTGGGCCAGAAGACCGGCGGCGGCGGCTGAAACTCTAAACACGTTTTGAGCTCCAGAGTCACTAAATGGGACGCAAACTGAACGATTGGTGAGGTCAGACACACGTTCAGTTCGAGTCCCATTTATCGACTCTGGAGATCAAAACGCGTCTAGGGTTTCGGCCGCCAGCGCCGGTCCTGGCCCACTCCACTGTATACCACCGCGGCGCGGCGCCCTTCCGGCCAGGATGACTCGCGGCAGCGCCTCGCTTGGCTGTAAATTTCACACAGCTCCGAGTAGGCCGGAACTCGTAATTTGTCAAAAAGAAAAAACCCTACGAACCGGTATTTGAACCCTCAGCCTCACCCGCGCGTCCGCGACGCGTGTGTGTGACCGAGTGTGACATAAGCCGCGGCGCGGTGTCGTCTGCATGCCGGGGTCACCGCGTGCGACGCGTACGACGCGATGCCGGTCGTCCCCGCCTTCCCCGTTTCCGCGGGACTTTCACCGCGATGAGGGTTCCACCGGGATCGCGTGTCCAGCACCACGTCCAGGATCGCGTCATCCAGAATCGCGTCCTCCAGGATCGCGTCGTCCAGAGCGTAAGTCCAGGATCACGTTGTCCAGGATCGCATCGTCCAGGATCACGTTGTCCAGGACCACGTCGCCCAGAGCGTAAGTCCAGGATCACGTCGTTTCTAACCGCGTTGTCCAAGATCGCGCCGTCCAGGATGGCATCGTCCAGGTTCACGTCGGCCCAGGATCGCGTCGTCCAGGATGGCATCGTCCAGGTTCACGTCGGCCCAGGATCGCGTCGTCCAGGATGGCATCGTCCAGGTTCACGTCGGTCCAGGATCGCGTCGTGCAGGATGGCATCGTCCAGGTTCACGTCAGTGCAGGAGCGCGGCGTCGAGGACTGCGTCTTCCAGGATCGCGTCCAGGATCAGCGTCAGCCGCGTGCACTCATTTGCATACCGTCACACGCACGTTCGGTACCTTTTGCGCGTAGCCACGTATCTTCAGCGCGTGAGACGAGTGACTTACGCCGTCTGTCTGTCTGTCTGTCTGTCTGTCTGTCTGTCTGTCTGTCTGTCTGTCTGTCCGTCCGTCCGTCCGTCCGTCCGCTCGCCGGTATAGTTTTGCAGTGCGCGACTTGGCCACGCCGCCACCGCGCTTCCAGGACGCTTCCAGGACCGCGTTGCGCGAGCATTCGGACAGAAAGAGGAGCGGGGCAAGCAGGGCCACACGCCGTGCTCTATATTCCGTCATCGCCACGCCACGCCATGCCTCACCACGCCTCGCCACACCTCGCCGTGCCACGCCACACCTCGCCACGCCACACCTCGCCGTGCCACGCCACACCTCGCCACGCCACGCCGTGCCACGCCATGCCACGCCACGCCGTGACACGAGACTGGAACACCTCCATTTTACGTCGGCGTCTTTCGTCGGCGAAGCGCGGCTCCTCCACGGCGCCTTCTCTTCTCCATGTGATGTGACGTCATCGACGTCATAATCCCCTTCTCCGCACGTGGAGAGGTCAGGAACAGCGTCACTCCGTCTCTCTCGCACTCGTGGCGTGGCGTGGCGTTTCATAGAGGTGCGAGAGAGACAGAGCGACGGAGCACTGCTGGGAATGAACGCCTGGGAGGTAGGCAAGAGGCGCGTTTAAACCTCCTTCCCCTTCGCTTCTGGAGTCGGCAGCAGACTGATTCCGAGAGTCGTTTTCGTCGCTCTGTCTCTCTCGCACTCATGCGACGCCTCGTGTAGGTGCGAGCGAGACAGAGCGACGAAAGCGACTCTCGGCATCAGTCTGGTGGCGTCCACCGCACCGGCCGGCAGCAGTCGGGTGGTCGGGTCGGACGCCCGTCGGACGTGCCGGCCGGCCGCGGCCGCTGACGTTTGACCCAGAAATCCACCGCAACGCCCGGGCAGTGCCTCTCCTAGTGGGCCCCACTAGCCTCTCCTAACGAAATGCGGGGTGTTTACCTCCTCGCCTCATTGCGAGTGGGGAGTCTCACGGCGGAGTGCCGCGCTCCCTATGAAGATGACTCCAGGCAGAGCAACGTTAGGGCTTCGATCGACGCAACGAACTAAGCGTTGCGAGCGGCAGCGCTAGGATGCACTGTAAAAAATACCATTAAATTTATGTAGCCAATGGCTTCTTGAATTTTCTTAGCCAGACACGAAAGTGTGTTTAAAGCGCCACTGGCTATGGAAAGGTCACTTTCCAAACCGCGACAGTGAATTTATAGTGCCAGTGGCTTATGAAATTCCAAGTTCGAAACGTGAAATTTACCGCTTGGCTAACAAAACGATGCTTCCCTCAGCCACGACTTTAAATTTAACAGCCCCTTGGCGAAGAAAAATCATAGGTGTGGCACTGAAAAGGCATCCTACCCTGACGACAGTTATGAAATTTCAAGTCGTGGCTAAGGGAAGGATGCTTTGCTTCGCCGCACCTGGTGGTGGCCAGACTAGTCCTCGCGAGTCCATGATGAAGCTCCGTCGAGCGCTCTGCCAAGCAGCGGTGCGGTGGCCGAGGGGTCAGGGCACAAGACATCCAAGTTGAAGTTTCGGGTTCTATGCCGACCGCTCGTGCCGCTTTTTTCATCGGCCCGAGACGAATTCTCCTCGCCACAACTAGAAAGTTCACAATATTGGTTCCGAGTATCCTTGCCAGCGCCACGACTCAAAAATTGCCATTTGGCGTAGGAAGAAGCCTTCTGATCGCCAGTGGCCAACAAAATTTCGTGTGCCATGGCGAACGAGATTTCATTGCCACTGGCACACGAAATTCATTAGAAGTATAACTAAGAAGGGGCGTTTCACTAGCCACAACAAGAAATTTCGTGTCAAAATTTTTTACAGTGTGATTCATCGCACCGCAAGCGGCCGCTGCGGATACTTCCCTAAACACGGCTCACTACACAATTAATGTTTGCGAAATTTTTGTGCGCATAAGTTAGGTAAATTTTAAGGCTCCTCTTTTTAAAGCACAAAATGGAAATATATTGTTCCTGGTGTATGTCTTCAAAATTATATACATATATAATTTATGGCTTGGCTTATATGCGCACAAATATGGAACACTAAACCACCTGTGGTTAAGTCACCCCAGGTGTCAATTGTTTTATTTTTAAATTTAAAAAAATCAACCAGTAATTTTTAAAACTTTTAACTTTTAAACTCAGGTCTGACCCAGACTTTGCAAGAATTTCTGCCCCACCATATTTTGGCGCACAGTCTTTCCTTCCAATTTTCAGTGTGGTTTCCTTTTAATTTGTCGTGAGGTAAGGCTAATAGAGACACGCACTCAATGCAGCACTGGCAAAATAAATGTGGACTCGGTACTCACCAGTAGGGAGTTCATGTCGAATGTGTGGGGTTGGGACTGAGCGGTCAGACAGGGCGCTGAACCGCTCCGCGGCTCTTCTTATAGTCCGGCCCCCTCCTCCCTTCCCCGCGATGCCCCCTCCGCCCCCTCCCCTCCCCTCCCCTCCTCCCGCCCGCCCGGGACGCCGTCCAGAGGGGCTCCCACCGGGACTCCCTCCCGCCCCCTCCCCTCCCTTCCTCACCGGAGGCGACGTTAGTAGTTTTTAACGGCCCCATCGAACAAACCCACAGCAACAAAAATTGTGCGGGCTCATGAGCTTTCTTTGTTGCTCTCCAGAACGCCAGTCGTTTTCGGCGGGAAGCGCCGCTAAGTCACAAAGCTCTTGCACCAAAGCGCTGCTCGTCGCAGAGGCAGTTGTGCGGATTCTGAACGGGGAAGTTGATTGAATTGATGAATTGAATGAATTGATGAATGAGTTTGGCTACTCAGCTGAGGCGGTTTGCCTATCAACAGGCGTTTTCGAGATGTGATTGCCTGCAAAATTGAGGGAGGTGGGACATAAGCTTGGGCGGGGTTATCCGAAGCATCACTCTCAGAGCCGAGATGGAGGTTGAGCTAAATGGGACTCAAACTGAACGCATGACCCCATCAATGAATTGCTCTCGAAACGACGAATCCATTGGTGGGGTTACACGATCGGTTCCAGTCCTGTTTACAGTAGCGACTCACGCGTCTAGGGTTTTGGCCGCCGGCGCCGGTCTTCTGGCCCACTGTGCATCGGTCTCGATCGAGCCCGCGAGGTGGACCAGCCCCGTAGATATAGGCAGCCAAACTTGCACCGTCTACGCGACGCCACGCCGCTCAGCCCAGCCAATCGGGCCTCGTCGAACCCACTGGGGGCTCTGCTTGCTGGACCCACGCGAACCCGCCACAATCCCGGCGCTCTGCCCTCAGAGTTCCCCCTTCCTCAAAACCACGCCACTGGCATGCCCCGCCCGAAGCGGCGCTTACGTCGCCAAGCATCGCTTATGTCGCCGAGCGCCGCGAAGCATCCGCCGAAAAATGCGCGCACGCAACTTGCAGTGCACCGAGCGGTGGGCTGAATCCGAGGGTCGCTTTCGTCGCTCTGTCTCTCTCGCACTCACGGGGCGTCCCTCCAGGGTGCGAGAGAGACAAAGCGACCGCGCGGTAAAAGCGGTAATTGGCGCGGGGTCCAATTAATCAGGCTTAACGGCGCTGACCCGGCCTGCGGACTGATTCCGAGTCGTTTTCGTCGCTCTGTCTCTCTCGCACCTGCACGGGACGCCCCGTGAGTGCGAGAGAGACAGAGCGACCTGGCTTGGCGCCGCGCGGCCCTCGCGGGGAATGCTTCCGCACCGACCGCACGCCGCGAACGGTCTGCGTCGGCCCCTCGGTCGGCCCGCGCAGCGCGGACGCGGCACAGTGGGCCAGAAGACCAGTGGAGGCGGCCAAAAGCTCTGGACGCGTTTTGAGCTCCAGGGTCGCTAAGCAGGCCTCGAACAGAACGTGTGACCCCCACCAATAGATAGCTCTCCGAACGAGGAATCCATTGGTGGGGTCACACGTTCGGTTCGAGTGCCATTTAGCGACTCTAAAGCTCGAAACGCGTCTAGAGTTTTTGCCGCCTCCACCGCTCTTGGCCCACTGTGCGCGGGTTCGAATCCACCTCCAGAGGCGGATCCAGGACTCTTTCATGGAGGGGGTGAATGTGGCGCTTGCCTCAGCGGGACGCCCAACGAGTGCGAGAGAGACAGAGCGACGAAAGCGACTCTCGGAATCAGTCTTTGGCGGTGCAAGGACACGCGCGCATCGCGTACAGCGGCGACGCAACGTTCCGGCAAATGACACACAAAAGTCGTCATCGCGACCCATCCAGCAGGCTGCCCCCCAACAACGCTCAGTCTGTCTCTCTCGCACTCGCGGGGCGTTCCGCAAGGGTGCGAGAGCGACAGAGCGACGGGACAAGCACTGCTCGGAATCCGCGACACTGTAGGACATGCAACATGCATGAGAGGCGCTCGCACGGCCCTACGTGCGTTATTGTGCCCACGTCGCGAGCGTCGCGCCGAAAGGACGTCGCTCTGTCTCTCTCGCACTCACGGGGCGTTCTTACAGGTGCGAGAGAGACAAAGCGACGAAGACGACTCGAGGCATCAGTCTGCGGGACGTTCCCTCGGCCCGCGCCCACCCAGCTCGAGAAGTAAACACACGAAAAAGTAGGCTCTTGTCCTGGGAGTAACTTCAGTCGATGGTCCGTGGCCGGGTATACCATATGATGCGACTTTCTTGATGTCGACAATAGAATCCCTACACTGGGAAACCCAGGACTGTGATGTCACGTCGAAAAGATGGGACAAAATGTCGCGGTTCATTGAGCATTCCATCATTCGTTTACTAGCCAGGGGAAGGCCTTCGGCCTCGATGCTGAGCTGGATTTAGCTGGAGATGGAAATGCATTTTCATCAGTAGTAAATTAGGATTTGTTTATTTTGAAAATGGGCCTCTTTTCTTTTTGGGGGGTGATAGCCAGGAAGTATGCATTTGCGCGAAGGATTGTGATTCGACAATGGTTGGCTTCTCCTTGAACCGACGGAAAGCTATCTAATAATCTAAAACTAAATTGTCTAACCAATCCTAACCTAACCTAACGGGCTCGTGACAGATCTTACTCTACTCGTGACAGATCTTATTCTCAAACTAAGTGGTCCAACCAATCCTAACCTAACCTAACGGGCTCGTGACAGATCTTACTCTACTCGTGGCAGGTCTTTCCGTACTGTCGACAGATCTTTAAACTAAATGGTCCAACCACACTCTACAAAAAATGTCCTGTCAACGCCGTTAATTTATTACCAATGTTTGCTGTTATGCAATTCACGGCGTTTGCTGTGAACTAGTTCACGGCGTTCACTGTGATCTCGGTTACAGTGTTCACTGTGATCTGGCCACAGTAAACGCCGTGAATTGGAGCCTGATTTGCAGTACTTCGGTGCTTAGCGGCGTCAAACTCACAGTGTTTACTGGGGACCAGATCACAGTGAACACCGTGAACAAGATCACAGTGAATCCCGTGAGCAGATCACAGTAAACGCTGTGAATAGGGAAGGCGACTGCAGACGTTCGCCGCTAGGGGCGCCACTGGGATATACGCCACTAGCAGCCAGGCGGCAGCCGGCACGGATGCTGTTTTTGACTTATAGCTCTCACTGCAATTATCGCACATGTATGAAAACTAGCTTATTGGGAAGCTAGCAGCGTTGCCTACAATCGGCTCGCTTACACTACGGGTCTATCTTGCATGACAAAGAAGTTATGGGCGAAATTGGCAGACTCCTAGGGGCTCCCCTGGCTAAATCGTGGCGCGTATCCCGGTGCTGCCCTCTACCATGAGCTTGCCGTGTCGCCTTCCTCATTGACCTACAGTGAAAACTGGTAATAAATTAACGGCATTTACAGGACATTTTTGGTAGAGTGCAATCCTAACTTAACCTAACGGGCTCGTGACATATTTTACTCTACTCGTGACAGATCTTTCCCTACTCTCGACAGATCATATTCTCAAACTAAATGGTCCAACCAATCCCTACCTAACCTAACGGGCTCGTGACAGATCTTACTCTACTCGTGACAGATCTTTCCCTACTCTCGACAGATCATATTCTCAAACTAAATGGTCCAACCAATCCTAACCTAACGGGCTCGTGACAGATCTTACTCTACTCGTGACAGATCTTATTCTCAAACTAAATGGCCTTTGAAGCTTGGCATATGGCGCTACGACTATGGAGCTTGGACTATTGAGCTGGGACTATAGAATATGGACTATGGAGCTTGGACTATGGAGCTTGGACTATGGAGTTTGGACTATGGAGCTTGGACTATGGAGCTTGGACTATGGAGCTTGGACTATGGAGCTTGGACTATGGAGCTTGGACTATGGAGCTTGGACTATGGAGCTTGGACTATGGAGCTTGGACTATAGAGCTTGGACTATAGACTTCGGACTATCGACTTCGGACTATCGACTTCGGACTATCGAATTCGGACTATTGACCTCGGACTATGTATACATATATACATATAAGATTAAGATCAATAATAAGATACCTATAGTAAACTAAAGGTATCCGGGGGGGGGGGGGGCGGACAATTTGGATGTTCAAATTCCCCAACAGGGTGCTTCGCTTCGCTCAGCAAAAAAGTGTCTTGGCTAATTTTTGGCTGATTTGCATTCCAACGAATTTTACACATTGCCTCGCACTGCTTCCAAAGAACTTGACAGTTTGTCACGTGATGTCACGTGTCACCTGTCCGGAATTCCCTGTGAAATAGCAGCAAAGAACACACTTTTTGTGGAGAAGTCACCTTGCATGCGGCGTCCCAGCTTCCGAAGTGCCTGCTCGCTCAGCCTGTTCACCAGCCGGCCCTGCCGGGCCCTGCCGTCTGATTCCGTGCACTGTTTTCGTCGCTCTGTCTCTCTCGCACTCATGCCCGTGTGGAACGAAAGTCTGTAAAGTTGTCGTAGTTTTGTCGTTATTCTGACGATGAATTAACATCAAATACACTTCGTAACTACGACGAAATAACGTCAAACTGAGCGTCAAACGCGTTTGGCGTTAAACAGCAGGTAAATTTGAAGTTTTTTTGTCGTCAAAGTGGTCCGTTTTACTTCAAAAAAACTTCAAAATGACGGTGGTCTATGGAGCAGCGAGCCAAAACAGAAGCCTACTCGCCGAGTATCGAACCGAGACCCTAGCCCACCAACGCGTTGGAGGACAAGTGTCGGAGTTCGAAGCCGCTCGGCCAAAGCGACTTGTGGAGGTCGGAGTGCATCGACGCGAACTGCTTCGCCTCGCGCTTCCCGCTCTCGCATTTTGTCGCAGCAACTTAGAGCACTTGATCTAAGTAACGCTACTTGGGGTTTGAATCAGCTGGTGTTACATAACACATTCCAGCACGGTAAAAACGGTTCCTGGTTTCCCATGAAACGTATGGTAAAGGGATTTCCAGGGAGTTCCTTGGAAAACCAGGAACCAGG